TTTTTAGGACAAGTTGCATTTTTCCCTTGCTAAAAAGGTCTAAATAAATTAAAACAATCAAAATTCGAAGCTACAAGAGAACTATTTCCGTCTTCCCAATAAGCCGTTAGCAGAAGCACTCCTTTGTGTGTCCAGACTCCCGTACATTCTCTGTCCATCGAGCGGTCGCCTTGTCTGCGTTTCTCCGCTCCCTACTTTCCATTTTCCATCCGTTTTCTTCTCTTCTTTCGAACGCAATTTTCGCGCCAATTTCTCCAGCAATCCCCCAGTCCGACATTTCATAACATCCCTAGTCTTCTACTCTGTTTCTGATAATCCTTAATTTCTCGATCCATTGTTTCCGCTCTATTTAACAAATCCATTTATTAATTTCAGGTAAAATGATTGCGGTCGGTATGCATGTAGAGATCAAACGGAGTGACGGCCGAATACACGGGGCAGTCATTGCAGAAGTCAAGTCAAACGGTCGATTCATGGTTGAATGGTACGAAAAGGTGAGTGTGTGTGGGAAGTCTATAATTCGTTAGCATGCTAGCCATTCTCTTCTGCTAAGGAAGCTCACCAGAAAGCCATGCATTTTTTATGACCGCAACCAAAAATCATGCATTTCATTCATCCGCGTCACTGTGAAAAATGTGGTTTTGTACTCTTCATGTTTCCAGGGTGAGACAAAAGGAAAAGAATCATCGTTGGACGAACTGCTCAAGCTGAATCCCACTTTGCAAACACCTAAACCTGCTCCTCCACAACCACCACCACCACAAAAAACGCTTCAAACATCTACGGCAGTGAATAGAATGAACAATACTATGCAGAATATGTTGCTAGAAGATGAAGATACGTTTTTGTTGGATCATCTGAAAAATAGTCAGTGGAGAAAAGAGAATATTAGGGGCATGTGAATATGAGTTAAATATTTCAGATGCTGCAGTCAACAACAAGCGTCAATCCGGAATCTTCATGCAAAATGTTCCTATCCGATCATCATCACCACCTGAAAAGCCCGCTCCAGCCAGACGTGCTCCATCTCCGACAGAGAAGCCAGTACCGGCTAGACGAGCACCATCGCCAACGGAAAAGCCCGCTCCGACACGACGTGCAGCATCTCCAAAAGCTGAGAGATTTGCCGTGCCTGCTCCTCCGAAGACGACTCGTTCCACAGCTAACCAATCTGTGGTCGCTGCACCTCCAGCCCCAGTTGAAGTTCCGAAACTTTCCAGACGCTCTGTGGCTCCACAGCCTGTAGCAGCTCCAGCACCACCTCCTGTCATTATGAATGCACCAAGAGCTCCATCACCGGTTGCTCGTGTTCCGTCTCCCAAGAATGTTCCGAGATCTTATCCTCAACAGGAAGTTTCACCTTCAAATGCAAATTTCGCTTTTGCCGAAATGATTCGCAATTACAGAGCACAGGTATCGTATCGAAAAGGGGCAATTAAAATCACATCGTGTTTTCAGATTGACTATCGTCCGCTCGGTATGTTCGACAGCGTGAATGAGAACCGTATTTCGGTTTGTGTTCGAAAACGGCCGCTGAATAAGAAGGAGTTTACGAAGAATGAAGTCGATGTTATCACTATTCCGTCTCGAGATATTACAATTCTTCATCAGCCGCAGACACGTGTCGATTTGACCAAGTATCTAGACAATCAGAAGTTCCGATTTGACTACTCTTTCGATGAGTATGCGAACAATGAACTCGTTTATCGGTATTATGATTTTTGTCTTGGGCTTCTTCCAAATTTCGGAATTTCAGTTTCACTGCTGCTCCGCTTGTGAAGACAATCTTCGATAACGGAAATGCCACATGTTTCGCCTATGGTCAAACCGGGTCTGGAAAAACACACACAATGGGCGGTGACTTTTCGGGCAAGAAACAGAACGCTGCAATGGGAATTTATGCGTTGACAGCGAGAGACGTCTTTCGAATGCTCGAGCAGCCTCAGTACCGCCGAAAAGATCTTTCTGTGCACTGTGCATTTTTCGAGATTTATGGAACTAAGGTGTGTGATATCTCGAAGCTATTGATTATCTTTAATGTTTTTTCAGACGTTTGATTTACTCAACGAAAAGGCCGAGCTGAGAGTTTTGGAGGACAAAATGCAAAAAGTACAAGTTGTGGGATTGAAAGAGGAACAAGCTATGAACGAGGGTGATGTTCTGGAGCTCATCAATAAGGGAACACTTGTTCGTACTGCTGGAACCACTTCAGCCAATGCCAACTCATCGCGTTCCCATGCAATTTTCCAGATTATTCTCCGACAGTACGCTTTCTAAGTTTACTATTAAATAGATCAATCAACCGTTTTGCAGAGGAAAGAAAGTGTGGGGCAAGTTCTCTTTGATTGACTTGGCTGGAAACGAACGAGGACAAGACACACGAGAATGTGATCGCGATACAAGAAAAGAGGGAGCTAACATCAATCAATCCCTTCTGGCTTTGAAGGAATGCATTCGAGGAATGGCTCGCAATAGTTCCCATGTTCCGTTCAGGCAGTCCAAGTTGACGATGGTTTTAAGAGACAGTTTTATTGGTGAGAAGTCGCGTACAGTGATGATTTCAATGATATCGCCTGGAATCTCGTCCAGTGATCACACTCTCAACACTCTCCGTTACGCGGATCGGTTAGTAAGCATTGTTGTAATTGATGCAATTATTTGTTTTTCTAGTGTCAAAGAGATGGGAACCGATGGAAGTGGTGAAGCGACTCCAATTCGTGACGAAGAACTATTCATTCCACCGTGCCTCGATAAATCCGACGATGAATATGACTTGGAAACGGAAAAGCTAGAACATCGGCGTTTAGCAGTGGATCATTTGCGGAATCTCAAAGAAATGACCGAAAAAGTATTTTGAAATTTTTATTATTTCATTTATTCAAAACCAAAAAAAAATAATTTCAGCTATCTCGCGAATCGATTTCTGCTTTGTCCAATGAAGCCAGTGCTGCACAGAAAGCCGAGTGTCTCGCAAAACTCGATCAACTAGCCCAAATCATCTCGAACACTCGTGCCGCTGTTGAAAATGTTTGATATTTCATCTACACGCACTTTAATTTCGTCTACCCACTTCATGTAACACTCCTTTTTATTCACAACCTCATGCTTTTCTATTTGAACCCTGTCTTATCCCCATCGCTTATTTATTTTAATTTATCCCAAGTGAGCCAATTTTTCTTTGTGAATAATTTACGGGTTCTATTTTTATGTATGGCGATTCTGATCTGCTGTTTGTTGTGCGCACAGCTACGCAGTTTCACACATTTATGGCTTCCTTTTAAAATGAATAATTTGAAAGCAATCATCTATGTATTTGAATAGATAATTTCTAGAATGATAGAACAGATGTAATTATAAAATTAGTGATGAATTTCATCAGTCATCAAATTGGAATTTTCAAACGAAGGATTATTGTCAGAAATGGCAACTCGTGTCGTGGCCGGTTCACAAGTCATTCCCCTCTCTTTTCAACAGAAACCTCCTGTTTTATTCCCATTTTCTCATTAAAATATCTGGTCATTTGAAATCGCACCAAAAGCAGTCAGAATCTGCTTCATTTTGGATTCAATTTTTATTTTCTCTCTATCTACTTATTAACCCGAATAAAATATCTGTCTGCGACTGTTTTTTGTCCTTCTTGGTTCCAAAAAATATTCTTGAAAAATTGAGAATTTAAAAAAAGAAAAAAATGAGAATGAAAAGAATCAAAGTGAAAAATTGAGAATTAAAAAAAGAAAAAGAAAAATGAGAATGAAAAGAATCAAAGTGAAAAATTGAGAATTAAAAAAAGAAAAAGAAAATTGAGAGTGAAAAGAAACAAAGTGAAAAATTGAGAATTAAAAAAAAGAGAATGAAAAGAATCAAAGTGAAAAATTGAGAATTTAAAAAAGAAAAAGAAAATTTATAATTTATAATTTTAAAGGTGGTGTATGGTGAAATTTTTTATTGCATCAAAATGTGCATAAATGCATGTAGATTGACATAAAAATAAAGAAAAAATTCAAAAAATTCCTTCATCGAGAAAAACGCATCGAAAAATACGCTGAAAGCCCTTAGGGACGAGGTTTTTTCTAGGCCGCCCGGTGAGTAAAAGCGCGCGAATTCAAACTTTTAAAATTTTTTCGCTCGTTTTCACTTTTTTTTTCAGGTTTTTCAAGAGTTTTCCAGGTTTTTGTCAATTTTTCTTCCAGATACATCGGATGATTTGAAAAAACAGTCATTTGTTCAAAAAATATGTCTCACTTTCACTTTTTTTGAAATTGCATGAACAATTGAAAATTTTTATAATTTACACTTTGTAATTATTGTATACTTACCAACTTACCTTTTATTCCACCTGAAAATACGATTTTTACAATAATTACAAAGTGAAATAAAAAAATCTCAATATCACCTATTTTGGCGAAAAACTCAGCAATTAACGAGTGAAAGACATGTTTCTGCAAGAATTGAGCGATTTTTTAGTCTGTCATAACTCTTTTTCACAAAAAACGTCGAAGGAATAATCGAAAACCAGAAATGTAGGCTCGAATTGACGAAAAATTGACAAAGTTGCCGGTGTGGATTTACGGTAAACAATGCGCGCATCCGGGATTTCGGAGTGTTGTAGTCGGCCTACCGTATCAGACCCATATCGCACACATCGCCCACCCACCTAGAATCCATCTAGGATACGCGCGCATTCGGAACACTCGATTCAGCCTCTCCCGTATCGCACACATATGAGACTCATCGCAGCTCATTGTTCGCGATATGTGTCAAACGGACTTCCAGAGGATCGCATATGGATCGGGTCCTTTATGCGCATCATCGCCCAGGACCTGTGTCACCACTACACCACACTTCGCTGTTCTTCCCTGCTTCCCCAATTTGTATAAGAAAGGGGGGGGGCGCTCGAAAGCCGCAACGATGAACATCCAGTGAAAATTTCAGACGCATTTTTCCAGCTTCTAGGTACCGAGGGGCACGAAAAAAAATTATCTTGTTATTCACCATATCCGAAAGTATATGTGTACCAATTTTCAAGAAATTCTCAAAGCTGATCTGAAAACACCTCCCTTGTGAGACAGACGAACACACGCACAGACACACACACAGAAAAGTTTCCTTAGTAAGAAGTAGAAAATTCAGTAGTTCAATAGTCAGCTAGGGAGCGAATTCGATCCATCTTGACCAAATGGTGATTCCTTTTTCTTCTTCTTCTGCACCAACGGCATCTGCCCAGAGGATGGTTTTTCTGGTGTGCTTGGCATCGGTGAATCCTTCGGTGTCCGCTGTTTCTCCGTAGCCAATTGTCCCTGTTGAACTTGTTGGAGAGGGGCCAAATCAGACAAATCACTAGTTTTCTTCCCAGTTTTTCGTTTCGAAGAACCTCTTCTTTCTATTTTGTCAGGACTCGGAATTGTGACTTTCACTGGACGGGAACTCGATCCTTGCTGTTTTTCTTCCAGACTAGAAACTGCTGATTTTCCTTTTTTCTGAAAATTAATTTTGACTTTCAACTTTTATAATCCCTCTTACAAAAGATCTTGGTGTATGTGGAACATTTTGTGCTTCCTTGTTCGGGACAGAAGTGAGCCTATAAAACATCAAAGTTCAGAATCTGATCTTTTGAGATTCGAAAAGACATACTCTGAAATTCGAGCCGGTGGCGCTGTCTTTTCAATTTTTGGTTCGATTTTCGCAGAGAACACACTCAGGAGCAAATGAACTGGAGCTGTCATTTCCAGTTTCAGTTCTAGTCGAACTTCGCTGAAAATCTCCGACTCCAAATTCTCGGATCCACTCAACAATCGTGTTCGATCTTCTAGATAACCATGAAGAAAAACTTTCTGTTCTGTCATCTTTTCCACATGTTGTTGAACCAATTCCATTGCATATTTTGCTTTTTCTTCAGCTGTCACCAAAGATGGAGAGATATCTGTATCATTGATCAAAGAAATCAGTTCAGCACCTCTACCCCATTTATCAACTGTCACTTGTACCTGACATATCATTGCCTCTTCTTTTTGCACTGTTTTCGTTCGACTCTCATACAACGCATTCATCGAAGCTGCTCCATAGGCAGGTGTGATGGGCGGAGCCAACGCTCGACGTTTTTCTAAAACTGTTGTCACTCGTCCAGCTGGCGTTTTCCCTTCTTCTACTATATACTAAAAACGGCAATGAATATGAGAAACGATAATTCGAAAGTACCGAATTAGTCGATATTCCATAAGCCAGCTTCTCTCGTCTATCCTTTTCTTCTTTCACCTGTTCTGGCTCTTGCGCCGGCTTACTATCATCTTCTGTGGCTCTTTTCAATGCTCGCCCTTTCTTTTCTTCTAGGTAGAAGTAGTGGATAGTTTGTCCAACTATGAAACAAATCAAAATGGAAACTCCAATATAATTATGAGTGAATTTTGGAATATTCAGACAGTACGCACATGTAGGCTGAAAATTGAGTTTTGGCCGTATGAAACTATTATTCCGGAAAAAATGGGAGCAATGGCCGAAGGTCCCACAACGACAACTATCGTAACCTAAAAACCTTTTTATCTCTGGACTGAAAACGGAAAAAATCGAGATAATAAATACGGAAAATGTTATTTTTAGGTGACGGTAGTTGTAGTTGTGGGACCTATTTTGAAAAACTAAAAAGGCATACACTGCAAGTTCCACTCTGAGGTGCCGCTGTAATAGGAGGTGCCGCCGTTACAGTAGTAGGTTTCAGAGTTGAATTTTTTATCTGAATAATTGACTCATTTCCTGTTCTTCTCTATTCAAAGAAACCTTTTGACTTTGAACAAAACATGTTAGAATAACATTTGATATGAAGAATATTGCATTTAAGGTCATTTTGAATTATTACTATTTCTTAAGAATTATGTAGTTGAAGTTTGAAACTGACTATTCCAAAGCTTTCGTGTGACGTGGTTTCTTGAAAACTAAATTGTTTTTTCAATCAATTTTTCACCCAAATAAATGTTTTCTATGATTTTAAAGATTTTTATTCCATTGACACACTGAGAAGTAGAAGAACAAACAAATTACAATCGAAGAAGAATTTTGAGAAAGGAAAGTACACGAATTTAGAAGCTTTTTGCAATAATCCTAAAGGAAATGTATAAAATTCTAACAAGAAAAAGTATTTGATCACCGTCAACAAAAAGAAGAGCAAAAAAGTAGAATTAAAGTTGAGCAAAAAGGAGATGAATCGGGACGCTCTCTAAAAGAGATCTTTCCGATTTCGAGTTTGTTTCGAAAACGAAACGATCGCACTAAAAGAAGAAGAAGAAAAAGGTAAAATGAGAAAGAGAGACAAAAAATGATGAAAGAAGAAGAATGAGATGATGATGGCGAACAGGCGGGAAGTAGTGGTTGCTCACTCTGATCGAGTGAGATCCCTCTTCCTTTGATTTAGTCGCGCTTGTCCTTGGATTGGGGTTCAACTGAAAAATGAAACCAATTTTTAACATGAATCCCAAATGAGACAATCCCAAGCTGGTTCTGATCCTTTCCACTGACGGACGAGTGTTATTTTGCTGAAAACGACTTCACACCATTCGGTAAAAAGAAGAAGACAAGTTCCTGAACAACAATCGGATAAAATGGGTTAGGAAAAGAGACATTCGGCAAAGATTGGTATATTATAGGATCACTTTTATTCTGTGAAATCCTTTTCACACGCAACAAATTTAGATAATAATAAATTATTGTGGGAAGACATAGAATTTCAGAGGACAAGAAGGTAGACATAGAATAGGAAAAAACAAAAACAATCATTTAGAAAAAACATGAGAAAATGGGGGGTTAAACGAAGGGGAAAAGAGAGATTTTCTGAATTGGCTAAACTCATGAAAAGATTGGTGACCGTAATTGGTATGAAAAAAAGGGGAAGCTGAATAGGGAATCTGACATACAATAGGGGTCTTTGGAATTTGGACTGACGAGTACAATGAGCAATGGGAAAAATCCTATAAAGTAGGGTTTACACGAAGGATTATGGTTCAGTTCACACACTGCAAAATGAGAAGGCCCATCGGAAAACGATTAGAGGAAAGAAGAAAAAAATTCATCACAAGTATTTGAGAGGGAGGTTAGATAGAAACAATCACAATTCGTTATGCAACTTGTCAGCGACAACCGGGTCAAATTTCGACGGGTCGACGGATGGGCCGACCAGAGCATGGTTGATGAGCTCGGCGTACGGGCCTAACATCCATGCGAAATACGCAAGAGTAACGGACACCCAGGCAAGCAACGAAAGGGCGCTTCGCGCCTTTGCTCCTGTTGTTTCCGGCTTACCATCGATGTAATTTCTGGCGATGAACTTGAGAATTTCATCAAGAAGAAGCACTGGCAATGAGATCTTCAACACGGCGATCCATTCGACCAAGTTGAGTGGAGTGATCTGAAAAAGTTGACTGCTATTTGTCGACGTTCAAAAAACAAACCTGGAAGATGGTGGCCATGATGTCAACGTAGAGAATGACGAAATGGAGAGACATGGAAAGGGTGATAGCAGCCATGAGCCAGATGTTCTTCCATGGTGGCATCACGAAGAGAGACTGATTCTCGGAAAGGGAGTTGATGGCGTTGAGCATTTCGATGGTGACAAGAACAGATAAGGCCATGGCGTTTGGATGGTTATCTTCGAACACAGCACAGTCAAGATCGGCAAAGTTATCTGGCTCGATTTCGCATCTCATCCAATGGGTAAGCTGATAATAGGTGATTTGTGGTCCATCCTCGTACAAAAGGAACCACCACATAGAAGCTCCAACGGTGGCAACTCCGACATACGCTGAAATTTATATTGTTTAATACTGAAGCTTTTTTTCCAAAACATACTTCCGACGGCGAGGTATCTGAAGAAGAGCCATCCGGAGATGAGTCCGTCATTAGCTGAACGTGGGTGTCTGTCCATGATGTCAAGATCTGGTGGGTTGAATCCAAGGGCAGTAGCTGGAAGACCGTCAGTGACCAAGTTAACCCAAAGGAGTTGAACTGGGATAAGGGCTTCTGGAATTCCGAGTGCGGCGACCATGAAGATGGAAACGACTTCTCCGACGTTGGAAGAGATAAGATATCTGATGAACTGTTTCATGTTGTTGTAGATGGCACGTCCTTCTTCGACAGCGGATACAATGGAAGCAAAGTTATCGTCCGCAAGAACCATTTCAGATGCAGATTTGGCGACAGCAGTTCCGGATCCCATAGCAATTCCAATTTCGGCCTTCTTCAAAGCTGGAGCGTCATTGACTCCGTCTCCGGTCATAGCAGTGATTTCTCCGTGGGATTGCAAAATGTCGACAATCTTGGACTTGTGGGATGGCTCGACACGGGCGAAAAGCTTAGCTCTACGGCAAGCCTCCGATTGTTGCTCTGGTGGAAGATCATCGAATTCGCGTCCAGTGTAAGCCTTTCCAGTGGTGTCCTCGTTTTCTCCGAAAAGACCAATTCTTCTTCCGATGGCTTCAGCAGTATTCTTGTTGTCTCCGGTGATCATGATGACACGGATTCCGGCGTGGTTGCAAGCCTTGATGGAATCCATAACCTCAGTTCTTGGGGGGTCAAGCATTCCAACGACTCCGACGAATGTGATTTCTTGCTCGTACTTCACGAATTGAGTGGAGTCCTCGAGATTCATGCTGCTAACGGCGACTGGGGAGTCAATGGTTCCGAGAGCGAGGCAACGAAGAGTGTCTCTTCCAGTTCCATATTGAACGCACTGATCAACAATTTTTTGGGTCATGGCTGGGGTGAGTGGAACTCTTTGTCCATTCACTCTGACGTGGGTGCATCTTCCAAGAACTCCTTCTGGGGCTCCCTTAACAAACATCTTAGCTCCATTTCCTCCGGAGGCTGGGAGACAGTAGGCAGACATAGATTTACGATCACGAGAGAATTCAAGAGTGAATTCCTTCTTCCACTTTTGTTGGATGACACGATTGCAGACTCCTCCAAGCTCTTTTGGCGAAAGTCCAGCCTTCGATGTATTGAAAACGTTCAACTTTTCGGCAAGAACGATGAGCGCGGTTTCTGTTGCTTCTCCGACCTTCTCGTATTGCTTCTTCGACTCATTGTAATCAACAGAAGAATCGTTGCACATAGCACAGATCATAGACAATTCAATCAGCGATTCGTAGTCTCCACCAGATCCTGGGTTGATTTCACGTCCATTGTGGGTGATCTTTCCAACTGGCTCGTATGTGGATCCAGAGATAGCGAACTCGGTAAAGTCGATGTGGTCTCCTTTCGTGTCCTTTCCAGCGATGAACATCTTGGACACGGACATTTGGTTGGTGGTGAGAGTTCCGGTCTTATCAGAGCAGATTACTGATGTGCATCCGAGGGTTTCAACAGATGGAAGTGATCTGACGATAGCGTTCTTCTTAGCCATACGACGAGTTCCAAGAGCAAGACAGGTGGTGATAACAGCTGGAAGTCCTTCTGGAATAGCAGCGACGGCAAGAGCGACAGCAATCTTGAAGTAGTAAATGGCTCCCTTGACCCAGGATCCTCCGTGAGCTGGATCGTTGAAATGTCCGATGTTGATAGCCCAAACAGCAACACAAATCACAGAGATAACTTTAGAAAGCTGCTCTCCGAATTCGTCCAACTTTTGTTGAAGTGGGGTCTTGTCGTTCTCAGTCTCGGCCATTTCAGTACGAATCTTTCCGATCTCAGTGTTCAAACCAGTTCCGAAAACGATTCCGCGAGCCTTTCCGGAAGCAACATTAGTTCCAGAGAAAAGACAGTTCTTCTTGTCTTGGTTGACAGCGCGTGGATCTGGTACGGAGTCGGTGTGCTTGATGACAGAAACAGACTCTCCGGTCAGGATGGATTGATCAATACGGATGGTGGTGGAGTAGATTTTCACGAGACGGAGATCGGCTGGGATTTTGTCTCCGACTGAAAGAAAACAGTTATTATTACATTCATTCATTATCGAGATGTTACCTGAAACTTCAACGAGATCTCCTGGAACGAGTTCTCTGGCACGGATCATCTGAATGCCGTGATGTCCAGAACGGATAACTTTGGCCATTTCTGGTTCGTATTCCTTGAGAGCTTCGATGGCAGACTCGGCATTTCGTTCCTGGAAAATCGAACATGATAATTTGTGGTTTTTCACATCTCGCTAATTGGCGACTAATTTAATCGGGGGTCACAATTGAAAGACCTCATCCATCACTTTTCTCGCGCCATTTGCCACTCCCTCATAGATCCCTTTTTCTCTCTCAAAATCAAGTTTCGCGTACGCGAATGCCCTGCTCATGACGCACATAGCTCTCTGCATCAATTTCTTCTCTTTTTAAAACTTGGCCCAAAGAGCATTTTTTCTTCCTTTCCTCTTCGGACCGCCCGTTACACTATTTTCTTGTCGCTGTTGGGTCTTCCCTATCTCTCGCGATCAACCCAAAAACAAGTCAAAAAGACATTATTTCCCAGTTCTTCCCCGATTGATCTATAACATAGAACACAACTGTGCAGCGTTCTCACTCGTGATTTGTTGTTTTTTTTTGCTTACCTGCCACACTCCGACGGTAGCATTGGCAATAAGGATAAGGAGAATGACGAATGGTTCTACGAATGCCGTTACGGCTTCTGTTTGATCTTCATGTTCTTCAAAGAGGGCAAGGACGAATGAGATGATGGCGGCGAGGAGGAGAATCTTGACTAGGAGATCATCGAATTGCTCAAGGATGAGTTCCCATAGGGACTTTCCTTCTTCGGCGGGCATTTCTGAAACAGATAGATGCATATAATGTTGTCCAATATTAAAACATTAAAAGAAACGTTATATATAAGTTATTTTGTTAATTTTCCTTTCATCAAAACTCACCATTCTCTCCATATTTCTTCCTCAGCGTTTCTACTTGCTGCTCCGACAATCCTTCCGGACCAGTTCCGAAGAACTTGCACACCTGGCACAATTTAAATTAGAATCCGTGAGACTGAAATATGAATAGCCTTACCTCATCGGCGTCTTTGGAATGCGCGTCCTCCATGTTGAGGCTGTAACCCAAGTAGTTGTGTCTTCTGAAAAAGGTAGAATTTGAGTAAGTGTGGCTGCTGGCAGAAAAGAAGAAATAACGCAAGAATGATAAGAAAAAAGATGAGGCATGAAGAAGAAGAAGAAGGACCGTCGGTGGCAGGAGCCCGAGCAGCCCGTGCCTACTGATGCGATGCCAGAGGCAGGGCCTGGGTGTGTAAAGTAGAATGAAAATAAAAACATCTCTTTACAGCGAGAAATAACGAGTGTGGAGAAGAGGATCAGAGAAAAAATCAAAGAGATTTGATAGTATTCAAGGAGAGAACAGACAGCTCGGTGGAAAGAAGCGCCTCCCGTCGTTTCTCTCGCGCCATCCATCGACGACATCCAGGGGAGCCGGGAACCCGGCAGTGCTCCATTCGCTGGAGTGAGCTCAAGCGCTGCTCAAAAGATGAAGGCATGGGGACGTCGCTCGGAACAAAATCAGGCAGATAACACATAAAATCGACTTTGTGTTACGACAGCCGCTGTGACCTTTAGTCCAGTGTGTAATAAAACAGACAATGGTCCCACGAGAAACGAATATTAATGGTAGTGGAATTGACACCAGACTAGATGACTTACTTTACCGAATTCTAAAAATCATAATCTTGTTGATGAGAATACACTATCAAAAAATCCCAATTAATTCAAATTTTACCACAAAATCGAGTTAAGTCATCTTAACCTATCTTCCCTTATTGAAGACTATTTCGCCAAACCCACAATCTGAACATTGATATTTTTATCTCGCTCATCGGATAAATTTCATTATTTGGGGACTTGACTTCCCCGATTGTGTTTGTAAACTCACTCATCTTTTGCTCGGACATTTGCAATGCCACAACTATGGATGGCAGACAAAAAGTGGATCATTTCAAAAATTGAACAAGAGATACATGAAAAAGGATAGAGGGGTGACGCGTTAGTTGGAGATAGAATAGAACGGAAAGTGCGAAGAATGGCATGATCGGAATCAATTTCAATCATTTCTTGACACAGTACAACGTCACTTAGACACAACTAGTTCTCGAGACTCGAAAAGAAATTGATAAATGAGTCGGTAACGAAATAACGAAAAAATGTTCTAGACGGGCCTAAAAAGGAGAATAACCAGTACAGATAGAAGAAAGCGCTGGTGAAAAAAGAGATATGTGCATATATTTTGAAAATCAATACACAATTAAAAGAAGACTATTGGGAAAGAGTAAGGAAGGCAGGTAACTCGCACGATGACGTGTAGTAATACCAAAAGAGAGAGTGTAGTTGCGCGTAGGATACGATGTATGCACAGAAGACTGAACGCGAATAAGACAGCGAAATTGAATGGAAACGTCGAGAACATACAAGGATTGTACGGTGCGTCGGACGAGGAGGAGAACGACCCGCAAACTGCATCATTTTTGTGACCTACATAGAAAGTAAAGAAACCCAAAATTTTGCATCGACAACGAGTCGAGTTTTTTTTCCTGATAAGGTTTTCCATATAGGCCATGTACTCACCTAGACGTGATGTTTTTTTTTTTTGAGAGCAGGGACACTGCGGTGTGAAGAGCAAGAGCAAACAGACAATCATCATAACTACCTTTGTCAACGGGAGTAAAACGACTCATCATTTTTGAAAATCAAACACAAACTGGATTTAGGTCCAAGTTTTAAATGACAAAACATCAGATTTATAAACATACTGATCCAGAATCTATGACAAACGGTGATTACATTCAATCAGAACCAGCTTAAATTTGGATCTAAAAAAATGAAGCCGAAGACTTACGACTTTCAGCAACGGATGTTTTTCGCCATCTCCTCTCTATTTTTGATTTCCAGTTTCGAAAAAAAAATTACGTGGTAAAGAAAAAGAGGCTGAAAAGTGAGCAGATGGGGAGTCTATGAATCGATTAGTGTGTGAGAGTAGGATAGAGTGCATGAAATATGAAGAAACAAAGAACGGTGGTGGTGGACTCATTGAGGAGCGCGTTCGATAAGGTCCTTTTTGGTCTCCCCCTCTTTTCTTCTACGTCTCCCTAGTAATAGATTGAAGCAGCTGGTGACGGACTCCTAATGTGCAAAAATACATACGACCGAGTCTCTTGCATTCAATCGATCGATAATAATCCGTCTTTGTCATGTACTGTTGTATAAGTGCCTTTGAAACATTATCATCTAGCGGTGCGTTGGAAAGAAACCCCCGAGAACTTTGTGCGTAATCAAATTATCAATAAAATATTGAGGAGAAGAAACATAGAACTGCAAAAAGAAGGGAAGAGAAAGAATCAAATACTAAAATTTCTCAAAACTGTAACTACAAGAGAGTGAACATCCTCATTTTTGGTGTAAGCAAAAACAAGTTCGATCCGTCTTCAGTCTAAACTCCCTTTTTTGCTCTTGCTTTTTGAATGGGATGAATGCGGAAGAGAGAAAAGAGTATAGAAGTCGAAGAGAAGCAGAGACAATGAGCGTCTGTCGAGGGTAGAAGGGGTCGTGGCGTGATTGAATGAGCTCAAGACTAGGGGAGAAGACAAGTTGGCAGAAGGGGCGGGGCTTACCGGCACAACAAAAAGACGGATCCTCGAGATTCACGTGAAATCCGACTGAGCCGGCGAAGCAGAGTACAAATTCAAAAGGAATAGATTTTACATGGTAGGAATGACATAATTGTGATGAATCGTTCAAGGTTCAAAATGATAGCTGATTGTCTCGCTAACTAGGCAGGGATCAAAAGCTCGCAACTATTCCCTGCTAGTTATTTTTTCCTTATTTCAACAATAGACTAGTCGAAAGTTTGGAAAGCAATGAAAAGTAATGAAATCTGTCAGCTCAGATATTTTTCGAAATATTCAGGCTTTCAACTACGCCACTCTCTGATTGAAATCGAAACGGGGCGTGGGAGCAGCATACTGCCGCCGCGACAGGTTGACAAATAATGATTGATAAATCCAAGATATATTGGGCAGGCAAACAATACAAAATCGGATCCCTAAGTTTATCTCAATTTCTTCATAGTTAAAATCGAAAGGTTTTCGCTTTTTTGCACCCGCCTAATGACGACAATTCTTTTCACACCGAACCCAGTTGCGTTGCAAATATTTGAGAGTTTAAAGGAAAGGTCAATTCAAGATCCAGATATGAGGAAAAAAAATACTTATGTCACAAGAAGTAGGCTATTAATGAAGCTATTAATATTCAATAGACTGATTAGGAACTGTCGTGCATACTTGTAAAATTCCGGGCCGGCCCGCCAAAGCCCCATAAGGGTCCCCCCTTATGTGTTTTTTGAAAATTTCGAAACTAGTGAAACGACGGGCCCGCCGGGCCTCCGAAATTCCGGAAAAAGCCCGGCCCGGCCCGTTACAAGTATGCTGTCGTGTGATCAAAACTGTATTGTTTTGAAGCATGTGATTGTCGTCAGGAACATTTTTCAGCACGTGCAACCGTTAAGGAAGAGAATATACTTTTTTAAAAAGACAATACAGGAAGCTTTTAAAACAGAGAAGACAGGTGACACATGTAATCAACAAAAATTCGATATATTTAGTTCGGGAGAAGACACTTTTTCTTGACTGAAGGAAAAGTTTAAGCTGAAATTCTTATGTAATAAACTGAATTTTCAAAAAAAAACGCTGGAAGATACCGTAAAACCTGTATTAGAAGGGCCGGCCCTGAGCAGGAAATTTTTTATTAGGTTTCTGAGCAGGAAGTTTCTATTAGAAGAAACGTTTTTCGGGGAAAATGTTGTTTTTTCTACTTAAAATTCTTGAAAATTATTTTATAACAAAACAAAAACACCTGTATTTTAATGAAAACAAAAAGCAACAACAGAAAATCAATTCTTCAGTTGGTTTTTTAAATTTGACTTCATAAGACTTCCATCTTCGGACACATTGACTAGAAACGCATAAATTTTCTGCAATTTAGCAAAGGGGAACTTCAATTAGAGGGGGTACTTCAAATAGAGGGGCCCTTCAATTAGAGGGAGCACTTCTATTTTTCGTGAGGTCTCTAGGGAGGCACTTCAATTAGAGGGGCCCTTAAATTTCAGGGGCCCTTCTAATACAGGTTTTACGGTATCCATTTTTACGGAAACAGAAAAAAATTGGGTTCTCATCGATTAACCCACGTTCCGTCTTGCTGGTTCGTACTGTAAGCGTGGTGAGACTCTGCGTTAGAATTTTTATCATGCGCCTTTAAGTGTACATTTTTTTCAAGGAAATGTTTTCGAAAAACAACCGAAACTTCCCAGTTTTCCATCCATGAAAATTTTCAGAATTTCTCATTCAAAAACTAATGTTGTAGTTTATTCAAAGCACGAATGCTCTTGGGAAACGAGTACTTTTTATCCGTTCGTCCCAACTTTTACGCTCCCGACTTTTTTCTGTTTATGAGCTATCCAGAGTGTCGACTTCTCTTTATTTTTTTTCACCGGGAAAACAAGTCGATTATCATTGAAAAAAAAAAGAAAAAGAAAAGTCTTGGGCGAGTGAAAGAGGAGCCAACAGGAGCCATTTATCAAAGTTGAGCACACAGGTCAATTGATGAAAAGATGACAGGAGGGACGGGGAAAGAGATTCGAGAAAAAAAAATTAGCAGACGACGGCTAGAGGGACGTACTATTGATAAATGCAGCATAAGATTGTGGGTGGAAGACGGTGGGGGAGAGGTGATAAGGAAGATGAAAAAGTGCTAGCTGATAAATCAAGACGACTGCGTCACAAACCATTGATCATCAAGACAGTAACGACGTAAATCGATGCACTTTATTACGTAAATTGGGTCGTTTTTCTGAAGTGTGAAAAGCTTATCACAGATATTCTTAATGAATTTAGGCGATAAAAAACAAAAACTGACAGGTTTGATCTATTGGAATGAACGAAGTTCGATTCTAGTTTTTGTAGCACCGTTTTTGAACCAGAAATCAGTTTCATACTAGGATTGAGTTGGAGTGGTTCTTGAATTTACGCCAAGTTATCAAGAGAAAAATTAGTTTATGATAGTAACTGATAATCAGCAACGAAATTTTTAAAGTCAGTCTGGGTTTCCGATAGCATGTGGGCGGTAGGAAACAATAATTTGTTAGTATTGTTGTCTGAAAAAATGTAAGTTATAGAGTATATTTTGCAGTCTGTATACGGTAGGTTTCTCGAAGCGACAAGCCTAAATAGCACATATTGGGTGGAGACGCAGACAGTTTTTTTCTGCGTCTCGACCATGTTTTTCTCAGACAGCCATAATAAAACTAATCATATTATTATGCTGGTACAAAAAAAAGTTGGAGCTGTGACAAAGAACCGCCTATAGCTGCGATCGAAGGTCCCAGAACGAAAACTACAGTAACCTAAAAGTATTTTTATTGTCAGCGTATATTTTCTCGTTTTTTACTGCTTTTTGTCTATTTTTCGGTTATTTTCCGCAAAGAAGACGGAAAATTGAAGTTTTGATAGTGAACAATTGACTGAAGACGTAAATACGGAAACCGAGAAAAAAATCCGGAAAATATAAATATTTTCAGATTACGGTAGTTTTCGTTGTGGGACTTTCGGCCAAGACCACTGGCGTTGCTATGCCACAGCTCCACTTTTTAAAGCCGCATAATAAACAGATTCTGGGTGTTTTCATTTCAATGATTCCAATTGAGATGACGTTTAAAAAAAGAAGGAAATGAAACATTTTCACCTGGAAAACAAAATTTCTAGAATCATCTGTTGAAATTCTAATAACCCATGTGCAACACAATTCAATACACTATGATCGTTTCTTATTAGTGTTTCAGGTGTTGAATGCTTCCTTCCTTCAGATATGTAACCCAACTCCTCACTCAATCCGTGTTCCAAATACCTTTTTGCAACCTGATCCTCCATAACGTCTTCATCTCGTCTTCTTTTCCTTTCGCTCTCATCAACTTTCATGCGTCACTTTACAATGCCAATACGTCTATGTGTTACTCTGCTCCTGGCCCCCGTCGAGACGATATCCTTTCGATATCTTTATCTTTCCTCGACATATGGCCTTCTATCCTTTTTTCTTCTTCTCTTTTGCTCTCAAGTTATTTTGTCCGTATCTCTTTTTTTCTTTTCGGTTTATCTTTGCGTTGTCACTGGAAAACAGATACAGTAGCTTGAGAGAGATACGGAAAAGAAAAATAAAACGAGGAAGAAGAAGAAAAAGAAAAAGAAGTTTCTGGAGTTCTTTTTTCAGTGTAAAACAGAAGAAAATGAAAAAGAAGAGAAACCGATTGAAATAGTGATGAAAAAAAATCGGCGAAGAGTCTCTCTGTCGGGTTACTAGATGTATCCAGAGAACGAATATATCACAGAAAAAGTTGGGAGAAGAAGAAAACAAACAAGAAAAAAAATGAAAGAAGAAGAAGAAGATGGTGAAGAAATAGAAAAGCATATGTAAATGCCAGATGTTCAACTGGTTGGGAACTCGACGATTAGGTCCTCATTTTCGAAAGAAATATTGGAAAACGATAGAGAAAGAGAGAGAAAAAACACAAAACCACTTTTTAAAGGAGATTTAACGCTGCGGGATCTCAACATTGAAACTAAACTGGAAAGAGGGAAACTGTGAAAAATATTTATATTCCATCTCTTTTTTATTGGGTGGAGCCCTGGTAAAATACTGGAAAACCTGTAATAGAAGGGTCCAATTCAAGTAGTTTCAGCTCAATTATCTCGATTCATGTCAAAGATATCAAAAACTTGTCAACTGATAAAACATTGGCGATATAATCTTCCATATGTACTAGATTAAATCGCGCCGAAGGCGCACCAGCTTGCTGGTTTTAAATAGTTTATCAGTAGACAACGTGTAATTATATTGGCCAGGGAATGAGAAATTTGGGCTCAAAGTTGATGATTTGGGTGTCATTCTACGGTCATAAGTCAACTTTAAATGTCTACAAAATATAGAAAATTCAAATGGATGAGACTGAAAATTTTCAGGTTTACTAAAAAAATAGAGCTTCAGTTTTGTAGTTAGACACTTTTTTTTTGTAAAAATTGATCTAAATGAGATAAACTCCTTGAAAGTGTAACGACTCTGACTGAAATACTATTTTAAAAGATTCGGCGCTTGGTTTGTTTCGAGCGGTATATCTCATTCGGATGAGCTTTTACAGAAAAGTGGCCAACTACAAATTTAAAGCTCTATTTTTGTTTAATAGATTTGGAAATTTTTAGCTTCATCCATCAAAATGTTCAATATTTTTTGAGCATCCAAAGTTGGCCTATTACCGAAGAATGCCAACTTTGAGCTCAATTATCTTGATTTCTGTGAAAGATATCAAAAAGTTGTCAATTAACGAAATGTTTATGATAACATCAAAAACAAAGTTTCCTATTAGAGTGTTTACGGTCATATTCTCAATTTCTTAATTGTCAATCTCTATTATAAACGATTTCTGATCACTGAATAACAGCTTATCAAGAAGCCCATAAAAATCACATAAAGAAAAACAAAAAAACTCCCACATTGAAATGCAATATGCTAATTTTTATTCGTTTTCAGCCTTCTCTCCCCTTTCCTTTCTTACTCCGGTCACATTAAAACAGTATATAAACCGTTCAAAATGTTACAAAAATCATCGGAAACTTTTACTTTTCCATCATCTCTCAAATGAATATTCTTGGCCTTCTCCTTCTCGTTCTTCTCGCTATTGCTGCTCCAATCGCCGAGGCTGGAAGACGTTGTCGCTCGAGCACCCAGTGTGACTACCAATCCGTCTGCTACAACGGATACTGCTACACCATCGACGAGATGTTCGAGAAGTTCGACATGAACAAAAAATGAGAGATTTTCTTCTTTCTCATTGTGATTTTTTAAATAAATGAGCATTCCCAATTACTGTTTTTTGTTGTCTTAGATCAGGTGATCAGGTCACATCATCCAAAACAAGCACAGAGTATAGTTCATCTAATTAAAAGTTAGCCCTTATTTGCAAAAAAAAAACAGTCCATCAATGAAAAAAAAGAATGGGCCGAACCGGGGATTGAACCCGGGACCTCTCGCACCCAAAGCGAGAATCATACCACTAGACCATTCGGCCGCAAAATAATTGTTTTATCATACAAATAATATCAGAGAAGTCTGATAAGACGCGATCGGAGATAACGTGAACCCTTTCTAATGAAATCGACAGAAGATGTGATGAAACAAGGAAGTGGCCAGTTCTGAACATGCTGGTGATTCATAAATTGGATATAGATGATCCAAATTTAAGAATAAAAATGAGAAGAAAGATAATTATTGTACTAGAGGTTTTCTTTTTTCTCTAACACCGGAACATGATTTTCAATTGAAACCGATTAGAAAAAGTTTTGGCTTCTGACCTAAATTCGAATTTTAATCTTTCACACTAGGAGCTTTCACACTGAAACCAACAATAATTTTTCAAATCCGGTAATTTTAAGGTTTCGCCAATTTTTCAAGTTTATAACTCGTTAGTTATCATTTAGAAGTACTGAATAATTTATCAATTCGTTTGGAAATCCATATAATTTGAAAATTTGAACTCGGGATACCATAACCACTCTCATAGAAATTTTCGAGTGGTTTATCTCATTTAGATAAAATTTTAAGAAAAAATAGTCTACTACAAAGTTGAAGCTCTATTTTTGTTTGGTAGACTCTGAAACTTAAAGATAAATCGAAAAATTTAGAACTGATTTTGTAGGTCTTTAAAGTTGGCTTATTACCGCAGAGTGCCACCCGAACCGTCAACTTTGAGCCTATATAACTCATTTCTTTTGAAAAGTATAAAAAAGTAATCAACTGATAAAATGTTTATCAAAATATCAAAATTATTTTGTTAATTGACTACTTTTTGATATCTTTCACAAGAACCGAGATATATTGATTCAAAGTTAAGAGGTGCTGTTCCATGAGAGTGTTCACTGATTTTGCAGAAAATCAGGAAACAACAGAAAGTTAGAAAGATGGTAATTTCGGAGATTCTAAAGAAATTCCTTTTGATAGTTTTATCTGGAATAAATTCCTTCTTTTTTACAGATATCTAGTTTCCAGGAGCTTTTTTCAAAATCCAAAGTGTTATCGACCTTTGAACTTGACAGAACAAATCCCCCCCCCCCCCAATTCATAAAATCACACCACTTTTCATCTCCGTAACCTGCCATGTTAACTTCAATGTCTTCTCCCAGAATCTTCAAGAAAAAAATGACAATTGTTCTTTTTTCATCTCCCTCTCGGTGTGGTGCAGCTGTTTCATATTAAATACTTTAGTCTTTCCTCAATCCCAGGTCAAGGAAGTTGCCACATGCCAATCTGTAAAGTGTGTGCTATTCTTTTTTATCCTGAGCTGTTTGTGTTTGCTCTAGAAAGAGGAATAGATCACAAAAAATCGAGGAATTGAGTCGAACAAAAACAACTCAACACATTTTTTTCTGTGTTATTGGTTACCCCTCCTGCCGTTCAGTTCGTAATAAGTTACACGATACGGAGATGATAACATCTGCTCAAGTGATCTGATTTTCAGGGATTCCTGGGAAAGATTCTTCGCAAATCGACGGCTGGAATTAGCGGTTTTCAGAAACCAAGGAAAACAAAAACCAAAACTGCAATTGAAAAGTTTCATGAGCGACACATTCTGAATTCATTTGCTTTCCGAAGGTCCTATAAAATGTTTATAGTTTTGATTCAATGATCCATCTGATCAATGAAAAACTGAGAAAGCCACACGTATAGGAAAACAAAAAAAAACAAGACTGCAATGAAAAAGAGGGATTTTCTAAAACAAAGTTTCCAATGACCACCGCTCTAATAGAAGCTCAATCGAATCGTCAACTTTAAGCTCAATTATCTCTATTCCTCTGAATGATATAAAAAATGTTTCAACTGATAAAACATTGGTTATATTATGACAAATAATTTATCCACTGACAAATTTTTGATATCATTGACAGGAATCGAAATAATTGAGCTCAAAGTGTATGGTTTGGGTGGCACTCTGCGGTAAAAGGTCAAACTAGTGTCTACAAAATATAGAAGATTTGATTTGATAATTTTCAGGCTTACTAAACAAATATAGAGATTCAATTTTGTAGTAAACCATATTTTCTTCAAAGTTCATCTAGATAAACCCCTTAAAAGTGGAACTGGAAGTTTTCACACTTGGTTGGTTTCAAGCGGTCAATCTCATCTGAATGATTTTTTACAAAGACTCTATTAATAAGGAAGATATTTCACATATTTGAAAGCTAATTGTGGAAACATTCAAATTTGAAAAAACTTTTTATATTTTTCAAATAAATGTTCTGAATTCATCCTTATACAAAATTTTGAAACAGTAAAATGTTCAGTACAATTGAAACTTCAATGACATGATAATTCTCCAAAGAGACCCTTGAACTGGAATACATTACTTCGCTTTCCAATTTTTCCCGTATCGCCTAAACTTCTAAAAATAAAAATAAAGTTGAAAATATTACCGTATTTTTAGATTGGCTACTAGTTTTCTGGAGAGCTCTCTAGCTTCTTTATATCATTCTAAACAATCAGCTAGACTGGAAAGAAAAACAAACGTTCTATTTTCCAGTTGATTCGTATTATAATAAACTAAGCATGTTCACTGAAATTTGAGACTTTCTTTGTTTCTTCGGTCACTTCGTGAGTATCATCTGCAACCCAAATAATACTTTTTTTTCAAAACTTTTTCTTGTTTTTCTTTTATTATGCTGGTATGCAAAAATCGGAGATGTGGAAGAGAAAACCTACGGTCGAACTACTGTAGCAAATATTTATAACTTTCATATTTTTTCTCGATTTTCGTCCGTTTTCCGACAATTTTTTAGATTTGGAAAATATTTATTTTCCAACTTGTTTGGAAATTTTCAATATAAAAATTGTCGAGAAGCAATGTTATTCTGGTCTAATTTCAATGTGCGTTGCTGTCGAAAATTCGACAGTGGGCGGAGCTTAGGTCCAGTAGCGAAATCCTTAAAGGAGCATGTATTTTCTTAACTATTTTCTGGTATATTTTCCGATTTTTCGTTCAATTTGTTCGACTTTTCAATAATTTCTCTAGATAACTTTTTTTGTGATTTGTCGGATTTCTGTGGAAAAAATAATTGGAAATCGATAAAATTCGTCTCCTTTAAATGCCTCTTTTAAGATTTTGCTACTGAACCTAAGCTCCGCTACAGTTGAAAAATTGCGCGCATTGAAATTAGGCTAGTGTTTTAGTAATCGAGAAAAAAAGGACCAAAAATTTCAGGTTACTGTAGTTGTCATTGTGAAAGCTTCGACCATGACCAGTGTTTCTCTTCCACAGCTCCGATTTTATCTCCAATTTTCAGTTTTAGATTGTGACTTTTGAAACTTCGATCTTCGAAAATCTCCTCGAAGAAATAGGAAAAGAAACAAATAGAACATATCGAGTACTCAAAGAACACACTTTTTCTTTGTTCTCCATTTACCAAAAATCCTCGAAAATCCATTGTTAGAATCCATCTGGGTGTGTACCTGTCTCGTGTAAAAACAGAACCAGTAAAACGACAAAATGTTGTTTCTGAGCACTCTCTCATATCTGCTCAAGTGCCGCAATCAAACATGCTCCTTTCCCCCTTCTAACGTACTCTTCACGGAAATAGAAAAAGGAGATCACAAAAGCGGCAAATCGCCACTGTTACAGTGTGTGAGATGCACAAGTATTTTCAGCTTCTTTGAATATTTTTTTGGAAGTTATTATGATTTCTAGATCCCCCGCTTTGATAATTCTGTGTTCTCCTCGGACAACGGAAATAAATAATGTAGACACCCTTTCTTTCGGTACTTGCTGATACAGTTATCAGTTAATGAGAAGGCTAATTACCCCTGGGAACATGATACTTCCTTTAAAGGGTCGTTTTCCAAGAGGTTCTGATTGTCCGTCAACAGTCTGTCGACGGCCCGTTGGTTCTCTTTCGGCTTTCGACTTATTTTTATCAATATTTTGCTTTGTGTAAGCTATAAGCCTGGAATAGAAGGGCCCCCGTATTGTCAATTTTGAGCGAATTTATCTCGGTTCATATACAAGATATAGAAAATGTGTTAACTGATAAAATGTTTGTCATATCACCAAAATTTTTTCAGTTTATTACAGGTTTTACGGTATTATGTTTTACGGTATATATTTGTTTACAAAGTTTTAGTCTTATTCAATTTTTAGTTTTATCCAACTTGTTTCGCATTGGTTTGCTTGAAGTCCCGTTAAAATGACACTAATTGCATTGCTGCCTCAATTATCCTGATTTCTGTGAAAATATCAAAATACTGGAAACTGGAATACTTTGGTGGTATTATGGTTATTTTTCTGTTAGGACTACTTTCACTTTTTGGCATCTTTCACAGGAATCGAAAGCTCCAAATACACCGTAAAACCTGTGATAGAAGGACATCCACAGTTGGCTCAAAATTAAATGGGGCTCTATTACAGGTTTTAAGGCAACTGCAGAGGTGGAGTTCTATTAGAGGAAATACGTTGAATGCTTGTAATTTTCACTTTGAATTGAATTTCTAAAAACCAGCCAAAAAACTTTTATTTTTAAAAAACTTTCATAATTTTTGTTTCTACTCCAAACGTTTTTTTAGGTCAGCATCAGATTTTTTTTCCGACGTTCTGCTGAAATTTAAGCCAGAATTTCCTATTCGAACCTTGTTGGCTTTTGAAAAGCTATGAAGAAAAAGAGAAGATTTTTCAAAATGTGAAGATTGTACATTTTACGGCTTACCTTATTCCCTCTAATAGAAGCCTACCCAAACCGTCAACTTTGAGCCCAATTATCTCGCTTTCTGTGAAAGGTATCAAATGTTGGTCAACTAACAACAGTTTTTTGATGTTATAATAAGCATTCTGTCAGTTAACCACTAATTGATATCTTTCACAGGAATCGAGATAATTGAACTGAAAATTGACGGTTTAGGTGAACTTCTATTGGAGAAAACACGATAGTTGGAGGATCAAGAAATCTGGTATTTGGGAATGGATTCAAAGTAATTCGAAAATTATTACTTTTGGTTTTTTTTGTCGAATTTTTGTAGATTTAGTGTGAAAACTTTAGTCTAAACCATGCTTACAACAGGCATGGCGCGTATTTTATACATCTTGTAGTCAAATTCGATATACTTGAGGTTACAGCTCATCTAGAAAAAAGTTCAGAAAGCAGTTTTTTGGAATTTCTAAGTGCAATTGAACTAGTGAATATTTTTTTCGGCGGGCAATTGCAAACGAAGGATGTGCGCAAACAATGTTTTTCGAGATCAAGAAACATAAGAACTCGGAATGCCCTCCCCCGATCTTTCGGATGTTCTCACCCGATAGGCTTCTCATTGTTGAACAACTAACGCAAGCTAATGATAATACCATATTATAACAGGTGTATTTAATGAAGTACATTATATAGCCACTTTAAGGACCATCATCCGTCATACAAAAGTGCAATTGACACCATTAGCCCTGGGGGAGAAAACAGTCCGTTTCTGTCAACATAGTATATCTTTCGGTTTATTTGCCAATCCGTTGACAGAAGCTGAAGAAAAGAAGAAGAATAAGAAGACAATACCTCTTATTACCTCTTTGACACTTTCCTTCCGTCCATTTTCTGCCATCACAACTCCATTTTTATCCTTATTTTTACCCCCTCTTTTCTTCCAATCACAACAATTCTATATGACACAAAGAATCACGGCGAAAGGGATGTATACAACCCAATAAACCTCAATTCCCTTGAAACGCCCGGAACAATGGTTTTAGGGGTTTTAGTGATGAGGTCTTCCCAATGTTGCCAGCTGTCAGAATCAAGAAGAATAGGTGACAATACGATTTCTAATCCGTTTTTGAGTGTAATGCCAACACCCCTGAGATCCAACAACTTTCCTGAAAGATTAATTCTCTTTGTTTCCAAAGTTTCTTTCCTTTCAAAAAGATAGGATCAGTTTTTTGTTGTAAAGGACAAGGATTGATTTGTTTTGTCGAACTGTACCGGAAATGTAGTGCCCTTGAAGTTTCCAAAATTCCGAGGTACGGAGAATTTACAGTATCGGCCAAGATTCTATTAATTTTACCTACCGTATTCCCTCTAAAAGAAGTCCAAGGTAACCGTCAACTTTGAACTCAATTATCTTTATTTCTGTGAAAGATATTGAAAATTTGTCAACTGATGAAATGTTTATCATAATATCAGAAATGCTTTATCAGCTGACAAAACTTTGATGTTTTCCGCAGGAATCGAGATAACTGAGTTCAAAGTTAACGGTTTGGGGAGTACTCTTCGGTAATAGGCGAACTTTAGAGC